AGTTAATTTACATCTGCCACTTCCCCCTCTGCAATATTTAAATGCCTGTCACTCTCCCACCCCTTTTAGCTGAAGGGGGAGTCCTTTCAGCCAAGCCCCCTCCCCCTCTACTGTTTTTTCTTTTTCTTTTTTTTTTCAATTTGTTAAGATGCTGAAATCTGCTTTGTGTGATTTATGAAGGAACTTGAAGCGATTAGTTTCACAGTGCATGAAAATTCCTCAGGTTCAGGGGGGATGGCCAATCTGTTACACTGTTTGCCGTGGACTGGATGGGAACTTGAGCAGCTCGGAGCCATAAGGAGATTGTGTTGAGTTATTAAACACTTGTGGTAAAGCTGCTTATTGTTAATTCCCTGATGTCCTGCTGAAGCGATAGGATAAAATCAGATCGGATTAGATCAAAGAGCCTGGGAGCCAGCCTTTGGAGCAGATTCATTTAGTCAATAAAGAGACCTCCTGAGAGAGGGGGAGAGAATCTGGGCAGTGCTGGTAGCCCGGGGATTAAGATGGGAGGGGGCGGGAAGTGGTGGGAAAGAAACAACAGTTTATACGTCTGCATTTCCTCTTCTTATGGAGTGTAATTCTCCTCTGAAACGCTTTTAGCCACCCTCAAGAAAGGGTATAACCATTTCTTTAAGATTTCATTACTCCAATATTCTATGACTCCAATAATGCCACTACAGACCAGGAGGTTATTTTAAAAAACAAACAAACAAAACAAAACAACTTCAGTTCCATGAAAGGTATTTCCACAAAAGCAATTTAGGCTTAAATGATTCCCCAAGAAACATTAATCCCTTATGAGTTAATCTGCAAAATTTCCTATAGTCCCTTTGTGAGGAGAAATAATGGAGAAACACCAAAAGGCCAAAGTCTAGCTCCACCCCCTCTTTGTAATCCCCCCCATGCCCACCTTCCAACCCCCCGCCAATAATTATAGAGCATTGTATATTAAGAAGTATGATGTGGCTCCCTTCATCCATGATTAACACTTAAGCCGAAGTCTATTCATTCATCTCTTAGCCCTACCCAACCCTGCTAAAATGTGGACTTGCCAATAAGGAAGTGACACCCATTAGAAAGTTAACCATGGAAAATGAGGGAAAAAATGAAGGATAGAGCAAATTAAGAATGCGAGTCCCTCAATGGTTATTGACCTTAATGGCGTTATAAAAATGATGTCGGCTTTTACCAGAAATAATTTATATTCTGAATTAAATAAGGATATGTATCTATAAATCCATTCTATAAAACTTAATTTTCCATCTAGATATGCTGATTACTCCGGGCCGGCATACCTTTACCGGTTGTTAATTACTGCGGGATGGTTTAACACTATTTTCCAAATCAGCATGCATGCATAAAATGACTGCAATCCAATTTGACACATTATTAGTGATGATTATTGTCATAGATAAATTAGATTGAACAGAAAATAACCTTCATCCTTAGCATGTTTTAGCTCTCAGAATTAATGTGATTTGGTGAACACATATAAATAAAAATCTGATGAGTCCCTGCTGACTACAGGGCCTGCTGATGCTGAAGTATATCAATTTCATGCAGATGATGAATTCCTTAAGCATTCAATGATAATCATGCTTGATTTGACAAGACTTTCTCATGCTATTTTAGGGCCTTAATTTTCTGTGAAGTTCTGTCAAGTGCTCATCAAGCACCCACTTATCTCCATATCTTAACCTGGCAGCCAATCACAAGGTTGCCTAACAGTAGAGCTACAGAGTGCCAGTCCATTAATATTCAAGTCACGTGACTGTCCAAGGAGAGAAACCAATCAATGGCTGATTAACATTCAGGTCACATGACTCCCGAGGAGAGTAAATGAGTTACACAGTAAGACATCAAACAAATTTTCATCTTGAAAGAGTGATTGCTTTTTCTGCTGCTGTGATGTTTGTCAAATTCGCTCTAGCCTTGTCCAATTAAGCTCCATGAGCTGAATTAATAATGAAGAGATGTAAGCACCGTGCCAGCATGAGAGCTGCGAGCGGTGCCACGGAATAAGAACTGCTAAAAAAAAATTCTTAGAATGATTGAAAAATCACATCTGGATAACTGGAATAATTGCTTTTGCAATCTTGATGCTGTTTTGTAATCTCTAGTGCAAAGTGTGAAACCAGAGTATGCTGGGACATGGCACTGAGTTGGCGTTAGACTTCAAAGATGAATGTGGCTTTGAGTTTAGAATGATTTTAAGGGCATTATACAAATACATGTTAATTGGATTATTGTTTTTGACTGTAGTAATGAATTTCATTTGCACACTCAATTATGTTCTGGGGCCTCCTAGAGATAGAATCTCTCAGAATTGTTTCACCTCTCAGAAGAAGGTAAGGAGATTATTCTGTATTCCTATCTCCTGGGTGAAGAAAGGACCGGACCAAGTACCTTAGAGTGAATTTGAGTGTCATTGTGAATCGGGTGTGTGGGTTTGTAATGTTCATTTTATTAATCATCAGAGGTCAGTAAATTAAATTCACTGAATTATTTCAAAAAGCGCATGTGAGCCCAGGGAGAATTTTCAGAAAAAGGCAGATGCTATCTTGCTGTTGATAGCCAATGACAGCTTTCGTGGAGTTTCAGAGTAAGTTCTGTTCCATCACCAAGTCGATTGCATTTCAGCACAGATGCACTACTAAATTCAGGTGACATATTTAGAATAGAGACCCTATGACTAATAAAGCTTTCATTCCTTCCCTGAAGGGAGTGAGACTTGACTAATGGTTTATTGGCATTATCAGAAAGTGTCAAATCCCACTTAATAAGTTCCAGCATGAAATTAGCTAAATTCCCAAAGGCCTTTCTGAAACAATATAGTCAAATAAAAGGTGTTGGGCATGCTGGAAAGAGTGTTAAAACCAGTTACTTGGAAGTTCGGAGAAAATAAATCTAACTGTAGGCAGGAGGCAATGTTTATGTATACAGTTAATAACCTTCTTAATGGGACTTCTTGGCTTGGTGATTCCTGTATGCGGGAGGAAAGTGAGATGTGGAACACAGGGTAGGCGAAGGGCCATAAGTCAATTCCCAGCACTGTTAGTCAAGGATAGAAATTGCAAAGAGAGAAGCAATGGATTTTAAAACCCCAGCAAGCAGAGAGTGGAAGGAGAGATGAATTGTGCATTTGGACTGGGAGGAAACAGAACTGGAAGGGGAATGGTTGAGAGTCCACACTGGACCATCCTGATGTAATTAAAACTGACTTAGTCCAAAGAACAGGGGACTCCACCACTCCCTGAGAGTCATTTTCACAGGGAGCATGAGGCCTAAAAGAGGGCATATTATAGAAATGGTATTTGTTTGTTTGTTTTTAAAAAAGCATAAGTTGGGATCTCAGCCACTAAGGTTCAAATCCAATTTCAGAGACTTATGAAAACTCAGCTTTGGGTTGCTCTGAAAAGACCCACAGTACCCAAGGTAATGTAAGTTTACCAGATATTCTTCTCCTGAATATTTTACCCCAAGACTTGCTTTGCAGCAAACTTGCAGCCTGGAGTTCTGCTTACATTCAGCTCACATGCAATGGAGCCCCTTCCTACAAGTACCCCCAACTTCCTGACACTTGAGAGCCATGGAATGGAATGGAAGGTGGCTCCAGTTGTCCTCAGTCAGCTTTCCTGGGCTCTGAATAAAAGACTATTCCAGTTTCTGCATAACTTTACATAATTAATAGTTTTCCATGCAAACTATTGTTTGCCTTAATTGTTGTTTCAACAGCTGTTTTCATTAAATCGTAAAGCCCGCTGTGTCTAATCCTTTGAGCCCCGCTATTGATAACAAGAACTGCTCTGAAGCTTGCTCTGGAGGAAGAGTTCCTGCCAAGCTGGAAAACCGTCCTGAAGTTGCTTGAAACTCAGGCCTACAGTGGGGCTGGTTGTGTAGCTAATCCATTAGGCTTTTCAAAAGAGCCATGCTCTGTACCCTTATGGCCAAATTGACCCAACAACCAATCAATGCCTTTATTTGCTGAGTGGCTGCCCCTGAAGGGTCTTATAGCTGGGTCCAAGTTGTAATCAAAGCCTCCATCAGTACTGGGGCCTGATGACATAAATGGCCAAACTTTCAACGCGGCTGGCCAGAGTCCAGTCACACCATTTTGAAGATACAAAGAGGCTGTGTTGCACGGTGGAATTCATTTTCTTGTTTACTTCCTCCAGCAACAAGAGCATCATCAGCACGCTCAGTGCATCGGATCAGACCGCGGAGCTGTTGACAGAAGCTTGGCGAGGTTTGCCAGCTTTCCACATGAAACGCTGGCTTTCTTCTCATACACCCCCTACCGTTTGTGTCTCTGCCAATTGTAGCACATCAGAGCGGCCATTGAGATAATGACCGTGAAGTCTCATGATACACTTTGATGAAGTGTAACATTTTTTAAAGGATTTTTGTCTGTGCCAAAATGATCGACACAGCTGACTAAAAATCGCCCCATCAAAATCAAGGCTGATGAACAGCAGGCAGAGGCATGAGTCTCCCCAGAGAAGATGGGGAGGGGGGATTTGCAGCCAAAGTGTCTTTCTTTCCTTGTCTTATGTGCACCAGAGTCCTTTGTTAAAAAGTCATCTTTGTTTCAGATGAATATATGTCAGTTGCTGATACTTCAGGCTCCAATATTTTTTAATTCTTTTTTTTCCCCTTCTCGCAAACCCCAGAAGATATAGGCACAGATTCCTAACTGACAGTTCCTTACTAATACCTCAGAAAACATGTTGTTAATAACTTCATATTGGTTGAAGAAAGCATTCTGGGTACTTCCCAGGTTTTCAGTCAGAGGCTGGTCCTATACTAGTTAGTGTCCATGTAACTTTGGATTAGTCTAGTTTGGCTAGGATTGAAAAAAAAAGTTATGCAAAAGTGGTTCTGAGCCAATGAAAAATAAAATTAACCTGCTGTGAGTTTCTTTGGAAGAATAATGATGTGTTTAATTTACTGCTTGAACTGTTGTGATTATCATTCATTTCACACCTTCTGTCACTCAGAGATCGCACCAGGTGAAGTGATTTAGTATTCACATTTGCGCCTCTGACCCTCAGAACGACTCCATTCACAGGTAAGGAAACCAAGACCCAAATGAGGAAGCTGAGTGCTGGAGATGTTAAGTAACTTGACCAAAGCCAAAGAGTCGGGAAGTGGGAAGGCAGGGTCTGACCAGCACTCTTGCTTAGGAGATGTGTTCCCTTTCTGCCTGTGGTCACTGTTTCCATAGTACACCTGATGTGGCTTATTAAATGGGGCTTAGTGGGAGAAGAGAAAATGATTTGTGGTTGAATTGATAAAGGCAATGAATAAAATGGATTTACAGTTTGCCATTCTATCTCTCAGTCTTTTCAAGGAAGACATTAGCTATGTGGTTTCCTCTCCTACAAGTTAACAATATATGTTCATTTTCCTCATTTGTCAAATGATGGCTGAGTCTCCTAGAATCCCTCAAAGAACCAAAACTTTAAAGTTCATTAAAGTACAGATAATATCTTTCATATCTACTGAATCTAAGGTGATCAGGAAACTCACAAAACCAGACCAAATTAACAGATAAAAAGATCCATTTGTTTCTTTCCAAATATTCTCTAGTTCCAACCATTGCTTAAGATGCTTAATAAGTCTATTTCTCAAAGTGTGGTCCCAGGATCCAGGTTACCATCTGAAATATAAAACTCTCCCCTAAGACTTATTGAATTAGAAACTCTGGAATGGGACCCAGCCATCTTTTAACCAGGTTTTAACAACATTAGGTTTGACTGTGAGAGAAGTTGCAGCCAGGGTTTGGCTAACCTGTCTCCATCTGCAGTTTTCCTTCTTACCTAAGGTTAAAGGCCAAGACAGTTTTCCCCCTTTGAGAGGAAGTAGGGGTTGTGAACTTTAGGATTTCTCAGCATGGCACAATTAGGGGACACCTGGGTAAAGTAAGTTTACACACAAACCACAAGTCCAAGGAGGTTACACTTCAATTGTCTTTAGAATTTTTGCCTCTGTATAAGAATCTATACGTATTCTCAAGAGCAGCCAGTATATGTAAGAACAGGGTTGAGGGTGGTGAATTGGGGAAAAGGGAGAGTAAAGGAAGTCAGGGTAAGGGAATAATGATAAAAATGCTTGTATTTGAACTTGCAAATGAGATCCCCTTTGGGCTTTTAAAAATTCTTCATACTGTTTCTCTAAGTACAGTCAAATAAAAGGTGACAAAAGCTCAGACGACAGAACAAAGGCACCAAACTAATTTTATGCACACATTGCAGGGAATAAACTACAGGATTTCACCACCCTCTCTCCAAAGAAAGTATATTTCTGGAGTCAAGATGGGTTCGTCCCAGTTTGCACTTAGATTTAATTTTATTAATTGTTTGAATTTTAAAAGGAACAGCACCCCCAAATTCCAGTTTTGCAGAGAGATCCATGCAGATAAATTTGTGCATAAAAGCCATCCTGAAAGAAAAAGGACAAGGGAGGCTGAGAAATGGCAGGAGTGTAGCTTAGGCTTCTTATCACATGGGAGCCAGGCAGGAGTTACGGATCTCCATTTGCACAAGGAAACTTGCCTAATGGACCCAGAGGTTTTCTGAGAAATCTTTCAGCCTCCCTCTTTGTACCAAAGTATGGGCATATGCATTTTCTAAAGGGTGAGTATTCTGTTGGGAGTGTCATCACCAACTCCTTAGCTCATTTCAAATGGAAAGCACTTAGATGCCAAAGGAAAAGGGCTCTAGTATATTTCGTTCAGGGGCCCGTGAGTGAGGGAAATACATAAATCCATTTGATTTTAAGGTAAGCTCTTACTATCTGTAAGAGCCCATCCCTTACCTTTGCTTTCCTCATTTGTCAAATCATGGTTTACCTTCTCTAAAACCCTCAAAGAGCCACAAGTTTATTGTTTGAGGAATCATTAGGTACAGACTAACACCTTTCATTTCCACCAAATCTAAAAGGATCAGGGAACAAACTGAATTAGTCCAAATTGACAAATAAAAAGATTCTTTGGTTTCTTTCCAAATAGTCTCTACTGCTGAACCTTTGCTTAAGTGTGTATTTCTCAAAGTGCTGTCCATGGAACCAGGTCACCAGCAGCATCTGAAATGTAAATCCCTCCCATCCCCCCAGACTTAATGAATTAGATACTTTGGAAGTGAGGCCCAGCCATCTGTGTTTAACAAGCTCTCCAGTGATTTTGATGCTCCCTCGAATCTCAGACCATTTGCTCAAGTTGTCCTGGCTGCCCAAAAGTCCTTTTTTTTGAGGTCTATTCAAGACCTCATTTAAATTTTGATTTCTTCAGGAAGACTTCCCAGGATCTCCTGAATGAAATTAAGTTCTCCTTTTCCCACCATCTTGGAGCAACTTCCCTCTACTATTAACAACTTGTTATAGCTTCCTTGTATTTGCTGTTTTTGTCCAAGGTGTGGCAGGCAGCCACTGACATGGCTCCCCATGATTCCCACTGATTGTTTCCACAGTCCCTATGTTTCCCTCCTGTTGAGTGTAGGTTGCTCTTATTGACTTTTGTAGCAGATGTGGTGGGATATCAGTTTTGAGATAAGGTTATAAAAAGACTGGCTCCCAATTTGGTAATGCTCTCTTGTGGGGTGGGTTCTCTTGCTTTTATTTCCTTTTTCTTTCTCTCTGTCTCCCTACTTACCTTTTCATCACTCCCAGTCCAGTCACCAGGTAAACCAGTCCAGTCAATCCTGCTAGAGAAGTTCTGGGGAATGAGAGGCTGTGTGGAGAAGCGTGGAGGCTGTTGTCTGTAAGAGTGCATGTGAGTGAATTTCTCAGTGGATCTGCCCACAGTTAAATCTTGAAATGACCTTTGCTGGGTTGGGGATGTGACTCAGTGGTAGAGTGCTTATCTAGAATGCATGAAGCCCTTGGTTCTCTCTCCAGGACAGCATAAAATCTTACTGCTCACCAGGCACCACTGTGCCCACCTGTAATCCCAGCAACTCAGGAGTCTGAGGCAGGAGGCTCTCAAGTTCGAGGTCAGCCTTAGCAACTTAGTGAGACTCTGTCTCAAAACCCAAAATAAAAGGGCTGGGGTGGTCAAGCACCCCTGGGTTTAATCCCCCATACCAAAAGGAATAAAGGAAAAGAAAAAGAAATGACCTCAGCTTCTGCCACACCTTGTTGGTGTGTGCAGTTTTGTGAGTGAACCTTGAGCTAGATCCACCTGCTTCTCTATTCCTGTGCCCCTGAAATTATAAGATACAAATGTTGGTTGCTTTAAGTTGGTAAGTGTTGGGGTGATTTATTATGCAGCAATAGATAACTAAACACATAGGGCTTGCATGTTTCTGTATTCTCCAAAGCTCATCATTGGATGCTTGGCTTCTAATAGGAGATTATTATGTGATTGTTGGAGGAATTTTTCCTTAAGAAATTTTCAAGAGTAGATATTATCTAGGCTTAAAAGGGATGTATTCACTGTAGGTTCCAGGAAAAATATGCCTAATAATTATGGGAATAGAACAAAAAGGGTGGGACCTAAGGGAACACAGTGAAAGGAAGAAGGAAGAATGTGATAAGTTTGAGGGAAACTGTCAATTAGGCTTCTAAACTTTTTCCTTTGAGTTTTCTTGCAGTTATAGATCTCAAACTTATCAAAGAAAAGAATTTTTATTTTACTCTTTAAAGAGGATTGAGGCTCTGCTACCCAAATAAATCTCTCCAATACAGAAAAAAACCAGAAGTTCTAAAATGTCATTGTGTGCCTACCATTTGAAGACAAACTATAATATTGAAGAGTCTGGGTTTGGATTTTACCAAGACCAGTATACAAATGACTCTCTCTTACTTTTATTCTTCCACCTACTACATATTGAACTTTCTTCTTCTTCTTCTTCTTCTTCTTCTTCTTCTTCTTCTTCTTCTT